CACCAACTTTTCATACACTTTGCACAAAATACAAGTTAATGAGACAGGTCTATAATTTAAGGGATCAGATTTAACACCCTTTTTGAACAATGCTACAACAGATGCTGTCTTCCAAATGTCAGGCAGGACTCCTGTTTCTGAACACTTAATAAATAATTTAGTTACAGCTTCAACAAACTTTTCATCGTATGCTAAGGATTTCAACAACTTTGGATGAACGCCATCCGGACCAGAACTCTTAAAAACATTAAGCTTTAAAAGCTGCTTCTTGATATCAGAACTGCTAATTTCCATATCATCAATAACCTCTTTGTTATAACTCTCATTTTGGGGAAGAGGGCCAGGTGGTTCACGCACAAACACAGAACTAAAGGCACTAGCAAGTACCTCAGCTGACTCAGATGAACTATCTGTGCGTGTACCATCTCCTCTATCTAAAGAAACAACACTTGACTTAACTTGACGTTTATTACGCAAATACGAGTAAAAAGATTTACAATTCTGTTTTAAATTAGATGTAATCTTCTTTTCATAATTTACTTTAGCTTTAATTTCTACCACCTCAAAAATATGCTGCTTGCTATTTGCACAGCTAAAGTTAATATCCGAAGGATTAATATCAAATTCAGCCCATGCTTTATCCTTGTTCTTCCTCATTCTTTTAAGTGAAGTTGTACTCCATGGCAACTTGACAGGTCTGTTGTCGAGATAAACCGAAGCAGCTGGGACAGCTGCAGCAACAGACTCCAATTTACCATGTAGTTCAACCCACATATCTTGAACATTATTTGTACAACTATAATCCCAGTCAATATTATTCATACTAAAGTTAAATAACTCTTCTGAGGAAATCTTACCCCAAATAGGCTTTAAAATCTTTTGTTTGGGACTTTTGTTAGTATTGGGCGAAACAACCAGTTCGACTAGTATCCCAACATGTTCACTTTTGCCAAGCGGAGAAACGATCTTACAACCGTTGACAAGAGCATCATTTGTATACAAAACCTGATCAAGAAGACTCTCCTGGAGAGTATCTTTCACAAGCCGTCTTCTGGTTGTTTCGTTAGTAAAGTACCACGTCAAACCACTGTCGTTAAATAAATCAATATACTTTTGTTGAATCATTAAAACCTGATTCTTACTAGAAATACCACTATTTACACTACCAGTTTCCCAAGATACATTAGGTAGGTTAAAATCTCCAATGATAATGGTTTCAAAAACATTCTTTTCACTAGATATGTTCTTGATGCAAGATAATAACATATTATTCTGCTTTAAATTCAAAGAGGTAGACCTATAAATACAACAAATACTAATCAATCCACCAGAGGTATTGACATTAATAGCTAAAGAGTCTGGTGCTTTTAAAAATGAGCTCACTAATGAAGCATTACAACTGTTTTTAATATAAATAATAGAACCTCCACCTCCACTTATGTTGCTAGTGGAGTTATCGATTTTAAAATCTCTGTCTTTTCTAAACATACTAAAACCTTCAATAAAAATTTCAGCATCTAAAATATCACTATTAAAATGAGTTTCTGTAATGCAGATTACATGAATGGATTTATAAACTGATAAAATACATTTTAGTTCATCAATTTTATTAAATAGTCCATTAGCATTAGTATAAAAAATATTCATGGGCTGACTACATTCCAGGGGTCGACCGAGGGCAGGATTTTCGACCGAGGCCGAGGCCGAGGAAAATACAGTTAGTTAAGACCGAGGCCGAGGACAACCGAGGTTTCTTTTTTTGACCGAGGCCGAGGCCGAGGCCGAGGAGTGCAAATTTTGACCGAGGCCGAGGCCGAGGCCGAGGAATTTTGGCAGAAAAATTGTTGGGAAAAAGGGCATTGTTTATTAGGAAAAGCGCACTGTACCTAATCAGATTGTACTGTGTACTATACTGTGTACACACGTTACAATCATTATGAAGGGGCAAGTTCGCCAAGAGTCAGGAGTGGGCATGCTAATAAGCAGAGCTATCCGAGGTACCGCGACAATTGACCCCCCGACAATTGACCCCCGACAATTGACCCCCCGACAATTGACCCCCCGACAATTGACCCCTATGTAATTACACTGGGGTCAATTGTCGCGAAATCTAGGGTTTAGTACGACAATTGACCCCCCGACAATTGACCCCCATGTAATTACACTGGGGTCAATTGATCGGGTCCTGGGTCAGGGTTAGGGTTAGGGTTAGGGTTAGGGTTAGGGTTAGGGTTAGGGTCCTGGGTCAGGGTTAGGGTTAGGGTTAGGGTTACGGTTAGGGTCCTGGGTCAGGGTCAGGGTTAGGGTTAGGGTCAGGGTCAGGGTCAGGGCCAGGGTCAGGGTCAGGGTCAGGGTCAGGGTCAGGGTCAGGGTCAGGGTCAGGGTCAGGGTCCTGGGTCCTGGGTCCTGGGTCTTGGGTCCTGGGTCCTGGGTCAGGGTCAAGGTCAGCCGTGGGTCAATTGTCGGGGGGTAAATTGTCGGGGGTCAATTGTCGGGGGGTCAATTGTCGGGGGGTCAATTGTCGCCCACCCCTATCCGAACCTTGCTGAGCGTTCAAGGAAATATCTATCTGCGCCGGCGAGCTCAGCAGCACCAGAGAGATTGTTTTCTACAGCAGGGCACATCCTGAAGTTAAATCGCCTCAGCCTTAAGCCAACAAACTTTGAGGGGTGCTTGTTTCTCAAAAAGAACATCGGAACATTTGGGGACAACTTCGGCCCCTGTCCAAATGAATTTGAAGCCCCAAATAAAGAGGACTGTCCCCCTTCTTCTGAGCTGTGCACAGAAGATTATTCTGATTCAGAGTGCTCAGATATTGTCATTTCATCAGACGATGAATCTTAGACTATGATATTTTTAGTTTTGTGTCCTGGTCAATTGGTCGTTTTATTTTCAATTTTACAAATTCGTTTACATTAACCTCACAAACCTTACAAAAATCCTCGGTCAAATCCTCGGTAAAATCGTCAAATTTCGCCGAGGCCGAGGAATTTCGAATCTATTTTTGACCGAGGCCGAGGCGAACCGAGGAATTGTCCTCCTGACCGAGGCCGAGGCCGAGGCCGAGGAAAAATCGCCATTCCTCGGTAAAACCGAGGCCGAGGCCGAGGACTCGGTCGACCCTTGCTACATTCTTTATCACTGCTATTTACTTCTTCTCCACCTTCTTCTCTGTCTTTTCCTTCTCTGCTTCTTCCCGCCTCTTCTTCCTCTCTTCTCTGGCTAAAAAACGGATCTCTCGGTCTGCTCTGCAGAGATCCAGATTTATCCAGTATGATGACTCTTTCCAGCCCTTGCCATGGTTGGAATAATAGTTAACTGACTCCTCATCAGCTGTCTGGATGATCAATGGCCGACAGGAGTCTGGCTTACCTGGATCCACTTTACCTGCACGATGGCAACTGATAAAGTCACTTTTTTCAATCTTTAGTGTCTCCTTGCAGAACTTCGAGTCCTCTTCCTGGCGTAGCTTGGAGTTAGCTTTCTTGCTCTCTGGTACATTCAAAACACACAGATTGAGCTTCCTTAAATTTCGCTCATATGCATCAGTGTGCATCTTTGTCTGAACTTTACTGACAACACTTTGTGAAGCTTGCTGTAAGCTCATTTCTTCTCTGATCCATACTGTAGTTCCATCTTCAACACTTCTCGGCCCGCTCCAAGATCCTCTTAGTTTTCCCATTATTGCTACGTTAAGTGCCACAAATTTCCATTGGTTGCCCCCCTCGTATCTGATCCTCACACCCTGGAGTGTCCCGATAGCTGCAGTGTCTCGGAACGTGCAAAAACCTGTACCCCAATTGCGCGATCATCAATCAGCATAACATTGGTGCTCCGCAGTTTTATTTTTACTTCTGACCACGGTGTAGAAATACTCGGATGATTCTCCTCCGGACCCATCTTTGTCGTTGGTTTGGTGTGTGAATTCGTATTCTTCACCTTCAATGAGTTATAGTTAAGATTTCTCGATGTAGCAAATTTTATTCAGATGAACTTACGTTGGTAGATCTCGAATATAAAGTGTTGCGTAAAATTTGACTATATTTATTTATTCATTTTAGATCTGAACTGTAATTCACACAGCTGTAATTATGTACAGAAAGTTCGGGAGCAAGGGAAAATCTGCGGTAAATCGGGGATTGCAGTAAATCGGGGATTGCGGTAAATCGAAATTGTACTGTACCAGACGTTTGTGAACTAAGATTACCTATTTTAGTCCACTCATCAAGTTCAATTTCTCCCGAATCCCCCGATGATTGAATTATGTTGTCAGGTAACTCCATTGCAGAGGTTGTTCGAAGTTGTGGAGTTGTGGCTGTGGGGTTATCGTATTGACGAAGGAGGTCGAGCTTTGCTTTCCTTAAGAATTCAATGTGTTCTTCACTGGGGAATTCCATAACACCAGGCGTAATTCCACTGTCTGAATAGGTGCTAAGTTGATGTAAAGGATTATTCTTTGTGTTTATGTTATAAAGACCAATGTTTTACCGTCTTGACAATGTGGCACCGTTTTGACAATGTGGCAATGTGGCACTGTCTTGACAATATTTTACCGTCTTGACAATGTGGCAATGTGGCACTGTCTTGAAAATGTGGCAATGTGGCACTGTCGCCAAAATATTTGTATATGAAAGACGTTCTTTTCATTCTCATTACCTGACTCAAGGCTGGCTTGTTCGTCCTCTTCAGACTCCAGAAGCGGCCGATAATAGACAAAGTTGTGATCTCTGAGTAAATATTCGTCATGGTCCTCGATCAACCATGCATCGGCATAGTCTCCAAAATTCGTATACTCAGCATAATCCGTCTGAAGATATAACATGCATCTTTTTTTGTATTTATAATAAGTTGAAGCAAAAATGATTGTTAGTCTAAGTTCTGAATCTAACAAATGTGATTTCATAACGACGATCTAATTCTAATGGAAAATTTCTCGTATCGTTGCTTGATTGAAAAATAAAATCCAACACAGGGGCATTACGTAACCTTAGAACTTATCCAGGATGTAATGGTCTACATATGTGAATGTGATGTCGACAGCGGTTGCTAAACTAGTAGCGGACACCCCTAGACTCAATGTCCCTAATCACCTTCTTGACACACGTAAGTAATTTGTTGAGTGGTTATTACTGATACATCAAGATATCAGGTACTTCTTTTGGAAATTAGTTTAAAGATCATGTGTTACTGATTTGAACCTAACTACCTATAAATGATGAATAGCCAAGGATGGCTGGTTTTAATCATAATGGCATAATAAATACATTGGTGGCTGTCACCATTCATACTTTAGATTATCAGGATATGTTTGGCTAGGATCGCTTCTGAGTGACACGGGACAGTGGCCAGTGCAATGGAAGCCAAGAAATATTTCTTTCACCATGCTACATTTTTCGTTTCAGTTTTTTTGTTTTTTAATTTCTTCAAATACTTCATATCATATCATCTTCAGAGTTGTTCCCAAGTCACGCAACATTGAGCAATGTGTTGGCAACAGATAAGCAGTCGCTTCACTTTAAAGGCTTTCAGCTTGGCAAAGTTCACCGCCAAAAAGTGGTAAGTTATTGAAGGTTTTCCAACTTTTGTTACTGATAGAAGGTAAAGAGCGCGCGTATTACCTGGTTGCCATGGATACATGATTAAACCGCTGTACAAAGTTGACTGTTAGCATTTTATTTTCGAAAATCGTAAGCCGCGCGTCCATTTATTGTTATTCTTCATTTCAATTGTCTTACGATAAACAATCGACATTATTGTTATTATTAATTATCATATTAATTTATTTTTCAGTCCCTGACGAACAAAGCAAATGGAGCACGGAGATTCCATGTGTTATCCCCAGCTTCTGGCTTCTTCAAAATACGGTTCAAAAAGACTGTAAGTTTTTTCAGATGACCAAGACAATGTATGATGTGGTCGCATTATCATTTTGTTACCTACAGTCATTATCATCTTCATTACAATTTATCCATAAAAAATAAAATGTTATAACCGAATTTCCTTTCTGTAGGGAAAATTGACACCGGGAATGAGTTTGGGAATCACTGTGGAGTTTTGCACTAACGAATTTAACTACTACGAAGATTTTATCAAAATTCATTGTGAGGTAAGACATGATCTGAAATAAGCTGCTCATGATATTACATATTTACAATAGTGTTCTTCATGGTTCGTGTTTCTAAATATTATTTCATTTTTTACTAATAATTGAGTAAAAATACTTCGTTTCAGGGAGGGAACAACCTTGTTATCCCACTACATGCGTACCCAGTCCTCGACATGTCCTCTTTTCCTAAACAACTCTCCTTTTCTAACACACCCGTTTGTAAATCGTAAGTTCACAGCATATAACCACACAATACTGTGGACATTTTAAATGTAATGATTTCAATCACAGGTACAAATACTGCCACAAACATCTCAATAAATGAGACCAATTTGTTCTAAAAGTTCACTCTTCTCAGAGTTTTCAAGAAGATAAAGCTCACGTCTCCTGTTCCGGTGGACTTCCTGTTTAGATTACACTACACAGGACACCCTTCCCTTAGCGTGGTACCTTCCAGCGGTATTATACCTGGTTAGTGAAGCTACCTATGTTAACTAATTAATTTAAAGTTTTCCAATTTGTCAAGAGTGCTTACATTAAACGGGTATTTTGAAGTTGAATCACCTAACTACTGTAGATAATTTCCTTCTTTACTTACCTTAACTGCTCAACTACAAAATGTAACACAGAACATTGAGAATACTTTCAGTGACCTCATATCTCATTTTCACCTGAAAACACTGCAGACAGCATTTTATAAAATCTGATTATGCAGCTTATTGTTAAGATAATTTTATAACCTCTAGGTGAGGGGAGCGTTGAACTGAAAGTAACTTTTTGCCCCACTGAGTACATAACCGCAAGTGGAGCGTTTGATCTGGTGATCCAGCAATATGACAACCCTGTGTACAGATGTGCTGTCATGGGTCTCTCTCAACCAGGTCAGTTTTACTCAGTTTTACTCAGTTTTACTCAGTTTTACTTAGTTATACGCTTCGAGTTGGTTGATACAATATGCTGAAGATGGGGATTTATTCGGTAAACAACTTTTGTTTAGAAATTATAAGCTCTCGTAAAACAATGCTCCATACTAGATTTAAGATTACTGCTGTGATTCATGACAAGAGATCGATATTTACGGAATAACGTAATTCATATAAGATTTTCTAGAATCAGGATGCTTGACAATACATTTTAAACTAATTTGCATATCATATGATTGAGTGGGGCTTTACATAGCTACATTTACTACAATTTGCTTTAGCACGTGACATGCTTATGTGCTGTCACGTGTCAAAACATAACAATATTACATCTGATCAGGTGCTGAGCGAGACATAGTATTGGAGAGTGAAAGTGTGGCAATGCCCAGTCTTACAAACGTTAGACGGAAACAGAAGCTTACTGACCCTCTAATGTTGGACCCTTCTACCCTGGCACCAGTCAAGCAGTAAGTTATCAACAAGTTGTAGGTACTATAGGTACCAAACCCTGGCACCAGTCAAGCAGTAAGTTATCAACAAGTTATAGGTACTACTATAGGTACCAAACCTTACATTTGTGAGATCTCTTTTTAGGGCCAGAGCGGTGAGGCTGAGAGGGGAGGGGGGGGGGGATAAACATAATTTTGTCAGATAATCATCTGTTTTTATTTATGGGAGTTAACAACCTAAAAAACATGACAAAATACTGATTAACAATTTACCCAGGTCTAGAAAGGGTAGAAAAAGGCTAGCTCCAAAACCTGTAACAAGTACTGTTGTAGACGGAGTTAGGTTTCCTGATAACCTCAACAATCCTACAGCTGTAGCGTTCGTGCTCAACCAAAAGCCAGGTGGGACAGGGAACAACTGTATTTTGAGGTTTCTTCAGACTATCATTTAGTTCTTTAATTCAAGGATACTGGCCTATTTCGCTTTTTCATGCGGTTATTTTTTCGTCCATCGTTTAGTTATGCATTCCTCCTTAATAAATAGATTTTACTACACACTTTTCACTACATACGTTCTTACCCATCTTTTGTATAATGGTTTAGTACAATATCTTTAAACAATGTTATCAGGTCACCTGAAAGCAAGTGAGCTAAAAACTGGTTCAGCAGCAGCAGAAATAGCGAAACAGATCGGGAACGAACGACAACTGAAATCTGCTGTTTTCGAAAGTTTGGTTAAACAGAAAGCTTTAGAGGAACGTAACAATCGACTGAGGTATTGGATTTTATAATCATTTAATAATTTAATAATATAGTATTATGTAAGATAGTAAGTTATATTGTGAACTTACTTTGTCTTTATGCTGCATTTAGATATCAAATACATTTTGTTACTTTTATTTTATCATAAGTTCAAGAAATAATGTTAATCTTCAAACAGTGATCACGGTAATGAGATAACTAAATCAAGATTTCTAATTAATTAAAACAATTAACCTATTATAATATGATATGACTGATATAACTTATATGATAACTACCATTAAACATCTAAAATATTCCATCCATTCAGATGGACTACACAGCTGGGTTCAGATCCCATGTCCCCCGAACAACAATCTGACGTTGTGGAGGAGCGAGAGAGGGCACAACAGGACTACTTGTTGACACAGGCTGTATTTTCTCATGAGGACGAGTTTAGTCAGACTAAAACTCACTGTTCTGCCGCGAGGTAGGTTATTTAGCGATGTTACTGGTTGAAAATGTGAGATTATATCACGATAACTGAACAAGTCAGGTAATAATGGTATCAAGATAATCCAGTGTATTATCTTAAGATTGATGGTCAATCTTATATTTCACGATAAGAAACAGAATCGGGTCAAGAATTTCTTATCCGGTAGATTTTTGAAGGTCCATTTTTTACTTTTCCTACTCCTACGAAACACCACGTTAACACCACGTTATCACCACGTTATCACCATGCCATGTTATCACCACGTTATCACCACGTTAACACCATGTTAACACCACGTTAACACCATGTTATCACCACGTTATCACCACGTTAACACCACGTTATCACCACGGTAACACCATGCCATGTTATCACCACGTTATCACCACGTTATCACCACGTTAACACCATGTTAACACCACGTTAACACCATGTTAACACCACGTTATCACCACGTTATCACCACGTTAACACCATGTTAACACCACGTTATCACCACGGTAACACCATGCCATGTTATCACCACGTTATCACCACGTTAACACCACGTTAACACCATGTTAACACCATGTTAAAACCATGTTATCACCACGGTAACACCATGCCATGTTATCACCACGTTATCACCACGTTATCACCACGTTAACACCATGTTAACACCACGTTATCACCACGGTAACACCATGCCATGTTATCACCACGTTATCACCACGTTAACACCACGTTATCACCACGGTAACACCATGCCATGTTATCACCACGTTATCACCACGGTAACACCATGTTATCACCACGTTATCACCACGGTAACACCATGTTATCACCATGTTATCACCATGTTATCACCACGTTATCACCATGTTATCACCATGTTAACACTCTGGTTTGATATTCCCAACATTACAAAGTTCTCAACAGGGTGTATAGATTAGCAAACGAACACACCAAGTTGCTACCCACCTTCGATCCATACATGAGCAGCGAATGGGGCAAGAGAAAACTAGCCCTTACACGGTTAGTGGTTTTAATATTATGATAATTATTATAATGATATGATAATTATTATAATTGATTATTTATCATTAACCATTTTGTTGATTGATGACTCTAAAGGAATACATAGATATATATTGTGATCATGATACAGACAAGTTTACTACTTATTCAAAATACGCGTCTCTATTCAGCAACAAAAACTAAACATTGGAACAAACATAGTCTTAACTGTTAACACCCTATATCAACCACAGATTTATCCGAGCAGTCCGGAAAGTGATCGTGACACAACGTGTAGCGAAACGTTTCCAGATGCTGATAAAGCACCACGTGAAGAACGTGAGACACACCCCAGACACACCTGATACGAGCCAGTGTACTGATAATATGGGGGAGGTGACACCTGTTTATCTGCCCTTGTACCATCAGGAGAGAGACGATGTGGATATGACTCCTGCTAAGTTGGGTGATATCCCGTCCCCGGGTGAGTTTTTTTTTTGGGACTGGCCCGAGGTACCAGCCAATGTTTTTGTTGGCTTTAATAAGTTTTCTTGGTCGCTTTAGCTGAAATTTGAGCAAGCATTTGGTTGAGCTTTATGGTAATATATAAGTTGTTCTATGATTGTTTATATGATCAGCTGAAATTATATCTAAATTTACAGCTATATCACTACAACTAGAGGTAGTGAATCCTATATTTAACCTACACGTTCCTCGATCCAGTGATCTTCTGGAATACAGGGTAAGTTTTCAATTTAACGGTTTTTGTTGTTGATTTACACTAAGTCACACACTACATGAGACTATGCAATACAGAACTTCTATTTGGCGAGTGTGCAAAGAAATTATGAGTTCTATCATAATTTGATTGAAGTAGCAATACTTTTTTTGACCGAGGTATTTTTGACCGCTGAGCACTTTTTTCAAAAAAGTTGTTGATGTTAAAAACTCCTTATGATCAGGAGCACGAGATAAGCCTAGCTGCGTCACACGAACCGGAAGTGCCGATAATAGCAGTGGGGGCGGAGGATGAGTTAACTCCGGTCTTACCTGAATCAGACACTCTGGTCACTGAGACTCTCAGCTTCCCTCCTGAAATTAACTTCCCCACTAACTATCCGCCTCTCATGATATTTAACCCCGCTCCAGGAGTCACGGTTAGTTTTATTTTAAATAACTTTTAACAGTATTGGCCATCCCCCCCTCCCCCCCATGTATTAATACTACGGAGGTATACTGTATAGCGTTTTTATTGTGATAAAAAAAGGTTTTCAATTTGTACCTCTATCTTTCCCAAGACTCTAATACTCAAGTAGATGTTACAATAAAACATTTGACAATCAAATGAATGTTAAAACAGGTCGTAGGCAAAATATTAGGTCACGAACCAATGTTATAAGGATAAAATTTGCCACAAAAAATCAATGACATACCTAGATTCGGGTACATTTTAACAAAATAGTGATCAGTAACGTTATTTTGAATACCATCCATACAGAAAATAAAAAAATTTAGCTCGTGGTATTAATTGTCTGATAATCAGAGATATAATAATGTTCCTTCAAAATCCTGATCAGCTTCCTTAGCATTCTACACAGACGTCTGGACACTATGGGAACCGTATCCAGTACTCCCCTTATATTCTTGTAATACTTCTTTATTTTCTTCCACAGTCTATACGGCATAGCACAGTTATATAATAGTATTCCAGGTATTCCGCAGGGCGAAGGGGGGCAGCATGAGCAGCATTCCATAGCTTCAATAACATTCTAAACACTTCTTATAAATAGTTATCAGTGGGAGGGGAATTAGAAATTCAAATTTGGGAATATTTATAATTATATAATATTAATATATAATTATATAATTTTGGGATAAGCGAAGGCTAAGTGCCACGCTGAAGGGGACTGGAAAACATATGCTATTAATGTTCAAGGAAATAATAAAGACAGATTCGTCTGAAAAAATCGATTTACCGAAACAAGAAGTTTTCCGAGAGTTTTTGACGTTTTTGAGTTCCATTCGGTGTCCTTAAGCTTAATGGCTGACCAACCTTTCCAAACTTTTCTTAGTTGGTCAGCCTTTTCTTAGTTGGTCAGCCATTAATTAAGGACGCCGAATGGGATCCAAAACCGTAATAGATCCTCTGAAAGCTTCTTGTTTGGTAAATCGATTGTTTAAGAAGAATCTTTCTGTACTTAAAGGCAGAATAAGTTGACGGTCATTCGACCTGCTCTTCAAAAAAATAACAACCACAAACTCTGCTCATACAACTTATATTTATTTCAAATGAGCAGCGTATACATTGTGTATTTACTATTTACCAAAAATATGGCAGCGGAAAATTCAGAAACTGTGAAATGAGTCCTCGACTAGACTGCAGAGGCAACATATATCAGATTTGTGTGCTTGGTATAAGTTGATATAATTGTGTGCAATGACTAATGCAATGTAATGACTATGAAATACATAACAAAAGAGAGAGAATCTTAGCAAATGACAAAGGAACAACTCGTCAAACTGGATTACAATCTCTCAGCAGATTGAAATCGAGTCACTTTAGTCATGTATTAGAGTTAGCAGGCAATCAAGTATATATACATACATTATGAACCAAGCAGTATGGGATTTTGGCTACCGGATAGGAAAATCTTACTATATAATATAAAGCGAGAGTATATATATCCGTACCATTTTACTGACACCACGGCATCAACTTTAACACGACTTTCCGCAAAACCGTAAAAGATATACAACTTAAATTTGTTTGACTGGTTCAAATGGGGGGGGGGGGGGGGGGGGGGGGGCTCATGTTTTTTTGTCCGTTTTTGTCCGTTTGGCAGCTATATTTTCAAAACGGACAAAAAATAAAGCGGACAAAAACGGACAAAAACGGACAAAAACGGACAAAAAATAACAAAAATTGAAATAACATTTAGATGCTTCCTCCTCCTCCTCCTCCTCCTCCTCCTCCTCCTCCTCCTCCTCCTCCTCCTCCTCCTCCTCCTCCTCCTCCTCCTCCTCCTCCTCCTCCTCCTCCTCCTCCTCCTCCTCCTCCTCCTCCTCCTCCTCCTCCTCCTCTTCCACCTTCTCCTCCTCCTCCTCCTCAGCCATCCTCCTCAGCCATCCTCCTCAGTCCTCCTCAGTCCTCCTCAGTCCTCCTCCTCTGCAGTCTTCATCATCCTCCTCAGTCCTCCTCCTCCTGGGTCCTCCTCCTCCTCTTCATCCTCCTCCTCTTCCTCCTCAGTCCTCAGTCCTTCTCCTCAGTCCTCCTCCTCATCCTTTTCGTCAGTACTCCTCCTCCTCAGTCCTCCCCCAGTCCCCCTCCTCCTCCTATTCAGTCCTCCTCCTCCTCCTCAGTTCTCCTCCTTCTCATTCCTCCTTCTGAGTCCTCCTCATTCCTCCTTCTGAGTCCTCCTCCTCCTCCTTCTCCTGAGTCCTCCTCCTGGGACCTCTTTCTCCTCCTCCTTCTCAGTCCTCCTCCTCCTCCCTCTCAGTCATCCTCCTCAGTCATCCTTCTCCTCCTCCTCCTCCTCCAAGGGGATCCTGTTTTTTATCCGTTTTTTCCGTTCGGAACCCTATATTATCAAAACGGACAAAAAATAGAGCGGACAAAAACGGACAAAAAATAACAAAAATGGAAATAATATTTAGATGCTTCCTCCTCCTCCTCAGTCTTCCTCAGTCATCCTCCTCCTCCTCCTGAGTCCTCCTCCTGGGTCCTCCTCCTGGGACCTCCTCCTCTTGGGTCCACCTCCTCTTCATCCTCCTCCTCTTCCTCCTCAGTCCTCAGTTCTCCTCCTCAGCTCAGTCCTCCTTCTCAGTCCTCCTCCTCATCCTTTTCCTCAGTCCTCCTCCTCAGTCCTGCCCAGTCCCCCTCCTCCTCCTATTCACTCCTCCTCCTCCTCCTCCTCCTCCTCCTCCTCCTCCTCCTCCTCCTCAGTCCTCCTCCTCCTCAGTCCTCCTCCTTCTCAGTCCTCCTCCTCCTCCTCAGTCCTCCTCCTCCTCAGTCATCCTCCTCAGTCCTTCTCCTCCTCAGTCCTTCTCCTCTTCCTCCTCCTCCTCAGTCTTCCTCATATTCCTCAGTCCTCCCCCAGTCACTCTCCTCCTCAGTCCTCCCCCAGTCACCCTCCTCCTCATCCTCATCCTCCTCATCAGTCCTCCTTCGCCTTCTCAGTCCTCCTCTTCAGTCCTCCTCCTCCTTTTCCTGGTTCCTCCTCCTCAGTCCGCATTCTCCTCCTCAGTCCTTCTCAGTCCTTTCCCCAGTCACCCTCCTCCTCATCCTCCTCATCAGTCCTCCTTCTCCTTAGTCCTCCTCCTCAGTCCTCCTCCTCCTCCTCCTGGGTTCTCCTCCTGGATCCCTCTTCTCCTCCTCAGTCCTTCTCCTCCTCCTCAGTTATCCTCCTCCTCCTCCTTCTCCTCCTGGGTCCTCCTCCTTCTGCTCACCAGTCCTCCTCCTCAGTCCTCCTCATCCTCTACATCCACTTACTTCTCCTCGTCATCAGTCCTCATCAGTCCTCCTCCTCCCAAGTCATCCTCCTCCTCCTGGGGCCTTTTCCTGTGTCCTCCTCCTCCTGGGTCCTCCTCCTCAGTCCTCCTCCTCTTCCTTCTCCTCAGTCCTTCTCCTCCTCAGTCCTTCTCCTCTTCCTCCTCCTCAGTCTTCCTCCTCCTCAATCCTTTCCCCAGTCACCCTCCTCCTCATCCTCATCCTCCTCATCAGTCCTCCTTCTCCTTCTCAGTCCTCCTTCTCAGTCCTCCTCCTCCTCTTCTTCCTGGTTCCTCCTCCTGGGTCCTCCTTCTCCTCCTCAGTCCTCCTCCTCTTCCTCCTCCTCCTGGGTCCTCCTGATCCTCCTCAGTCTTCTTTCTCCTTCTACTCCTCAGTCCTCCTCCTCCTCAATCCTCCTCTTCCTCCTAAGTCCTCCCCTCCTCAGTCCTCCTAAGTCCTCCCATTCTCAGTCCTCCTCCTCATCAGTCCTCTTCACCAGTCCTCCTCCTCAGTCCTCCTTATCCTCATCCTTCATCTCCTTCCTTCATCTCCTTTCTCCTCCTCATCCTCCTCATACACCTCCTCCTCATCAGTCCTCCTCCTCACTGCTCACTCCTTCTCCTCCTCCTCCTCCTCCTCCTCCTCGTCCTTAGTCCTCTTTATCAGTCCTCATCAGTCCTCATCAGTCCTCCTCCTCCCCAGTCCTCCTTTTGGTGCCTTTTCCTGGGTCCTCCTCCTGGGTCCTCCTCCTCTTGGGTCCTCCTCCTCTTGGGTCCTCCTCCTCTTGGGTCCTCCTCCTCATCCTTCTCCTTAATCCTCCTCCTCCTCAGTCCTCCTCTTGAGTCCTTCTTCTCCTCCTCCTCCTATTCATTCCTCCTCCTCAGTTCTCCTTCTCAGTCTCACTCCTCCTTCTCAGTCCTCCTCCTCCTCTTCTTCCTGGTTCCTCCTCTTGGGTCCTCCTTCTCCTCCTCAGTCCTCCTCCTCTTCCTCCTCTTCCTGGGTCCTCCTGATCCTCCTCAGTCTTCTTCCTCCTTCTACTCCTCAGTCCTCCTCCTGCTCAATCCTCCTCTTCCTCCTAAGTCCTCCCCTCCTCAGTCCTCCTAAGTCCTCCCCTTCTCAGTCCTCCTCCTCATCAGTCCTCTTCACCAGTCCTCCTCCTCAGTCCTCCTTATCCTCATCCTTTATCTCCTTTCTCCTCCTCATCCTCCTCAGATCATACACCTCCTTCTCCTCATCAGTCCTCCTCCTCACTGCTCACTCCTTCTCCTCCTCCTCCTCCTCCTCCTCCTCGTCCTTAGTCCTCTTTATCAGTCCTCATCAGTCCTCATCGGTCCTCCTCCTCCCCAGTCCTCCTCATGGGGCCTTTTCCTGGGTCCTCCTCCTCTTGGGTCCTCCTCCTCTTGAGTCCTTCTTCTCCTCCTCCTATTCATTCCTCCTCCTCAGTTCTCCTTCTCAGTCTCACTCCTCCTCAGCCCCCCTCCTCTCCCTCCTCAGTCCCCCTCCTCAGTCCCCCCTCCTCCTTTTCCTCTCTTTCATCTCTCAATAATTTGTTCAATTTATAATTATTGTTGGTGTTATTGTTAACATAATTTATTGTTATATACTAAAATGTTTTTAAGCGCATTTGAGTCTGACTCAAAATGTGCTCAAGAATCTTTGTGTTTAACAAAGTTTTACTCTCCAGTAATAAAACTTTTCATCCCTTTTTATGTTATTAAAAAATGTGTAGACTATTCTTTGTGCCTTATTGAAGATTAAAAGTTTGAGAAAGGACCATGGTCATTAACCGGGCTACCCATTTCTGCAGATAGCCTGTTACAAATTGTGGAGAAAATTTAAATCAAAAGTTACAATTTTTGTCCGTTTTTGTCCGTTTTTGTCCGTTTTTGTCCGTTTGGCAGCTATATTTTCAAAACGGACAAAAATTAACGGACAAAAACGGACAAAAACGGACAAAAAATAACATGATCCCCCCCCCCCCCCCCTTCAAATACTTTAATGGCCTTCAAATCAGCATGAAAAAAATTAAAAATTGGCCAATGAATAAGAGGGTTAGACGGGTTAGACGGGTTCCGGCTAGTTAATTCTAATTTTTGGGACATCCATATTATATAAAATGTGACTTTTTTCAACTAATATAATTTTTGACAAAATCAAATTTTTTGAAGGCCTATTTCAAAATTCTGTCTACCTTCCAATGTCTATGGATTGAAACCATGTAAGTAACACCCTGTAAGTAACACCATGAAAGTAACACCATGAAAGTAACACCATGTAAGTAACACCATGTAAGTAACACCATTTAAGGGGGCAGGGGGGGCGGCTTTATGAAATGTCTCTCGAAATTGATTTTATAGTTGTTTCTGATAGAGAGGAGTGATATCTATCTGCTGCTTTTGGTCCCATGGAAAAATATTGTTCCTAGCCGAAGTTATCGCCGGTCAAAGGTCAGCGCTCATGTGTAATTGTATTGTATAGAAGATTCTGTTCTATCAGAATTTTAAGATAGGCTTTAGACAATTTTGTATTCGATTTCGATACAGAACACTCTGTAAGTAACACCCTGTAAGTAACACCCTGTAAATAACACATTGTAAGTAACACCTTGTAAGTATAAAGTAACACCCTGTAAGTAACACCCTGTATGTAACACCCTGTAAGTAGCACCCTGTAAGTAACACCCTGTAAGTGACACCCTGTAAGTAATACCATGTAAGTAACACTCTGTAAGTAACACCCTGTAAGTAGCACCCTGTAAGTAACACCTTGTAAGTGACACCCTGTAAACAATACCCTGTAAGTAACACCCTGTAAGTAACACCCTGTAAGTAACACCCTGTAAGTAACACCCTGTAAGTAACACCCTGTAAGTGACACCCTGTAAGTAACACCCTGTAAGTAACACCCTGTAAGTAACACCCTGTAAGTAACACCCTGAAAGTAACACCCTGTAAGTAACACCCTGTAAGTGACACCCTGTAAGTAACACCATTACAATCCCAGGCGCAGTACGGAGGTACTCAGTGTCTGGAGACGAGTGAGGAGTATTACCTGAACCCCCTCCTCCGCCGACCTATCAGACACAGGGGTCCCATACAACCCCTCCACAAACAGGATGTTATACCCGGCACTCAGAGGTGGCACAAGTTCCCCTGTCAGATGCTGGTAAGTGACCACTGTTGTATCCTGACCACTGTTGTATCCTGACCACTGTTGTATCCTGACCACTATTGTATCCTGACCACTATTACTTGTATCCTGGTCCCACTGTTGTACCCTGACCACTATTACTTGTACCCTGGCCACTATTACTTGTACCCTGGTCCCACTGTTGTATCCTGACCACTGTTGTATCCTGACCACTATTACTTGTACCCTGGTCCCACTGTTGTATCCTGACCACTGTTGTATCCTGACCACTGTTGTATCCTGACCACTATTGTATCCTGACCACTATAACTTGTATCCTGGTCCCACTGTTGTACCATGACCACTATTACTTGTACCCTGGCCACTATTACTTGTACCCTGGTCCCACTGTTGTATCCTGACCACTGTTGTATCCTGACCACTATTACTTGTACCCTGGTCCCACTGTTGTATCCTGACCACTATTACTTGTACCCTGGTCCCACTGTTGTATCCTGACCACTGTTGTATCCTGACCACTATTACTTGTATCCTGGTCCCACTGTTGTATCCTGACCACTATTACTTGTATCCTGGTCCCACTGTTGTATCCTGACCACTATTACTTGTATCCTGACCACTATTACTTGTACCCTAGTCCCACTGTTGTATCCTGACCACTATTACTTGTATCCTGACCACTATTACTTGTATCCTGGTCCCACTGTTGTATCCTGACCACTATTACTTGTATCCTGACCACTATTACTTGTACCCTGGTCCCACTGTTGTATCCTGACCACTATTACTTGTATCCTGACCACTATTACTTGTATCCTGGTCCCACTGTTGTATCCTGACCACTATTACTTGTATCCTGACCACTATTACTTGTACCCTGGTCCCACTGTTGTATCCTGACCACTATTACTTGTACCCTGGTCCCACTGTTTTATCCTGACCACTATTACTTGTATCCTGACCACTATTACTTGTACCCTGGTCCCACTGTTGTATCCTGACCACTATTACTTGTATCCTGACCACTATTACTTGTATCCTGGTCCCACTGTTGTATCCTGACCACTATTACTTGTATCCTGACCACTATTACTTGTACCCTGGTCCCACTGTTGTATCCTGACCACTATTACTTGTATCCTGACCACTATTACTTGTATCCTGACCACTATTACTTGTACCCTGGTCCCACTGTTGTATCCTGACCACTGTTGTGTCCTGACCACTATTACTTGTATCCTGGTCCCACTGTTGTATCCTGACCACTATTACTTGTATCCTGGTCCCACTGTTGTATCCTGACCACTATTACTTGTATCCTGACCACTATTACTTGTACCCTGGTCCCACTGTTGTATCCTGACCACTATTACTTGTATCCTGACCACTATTACTTGTACCCTGGTCCCACTGTTGTATCCTGACCACTATTACTTGTATCCTGACCACTATCACTTGTATCCTGGTCCCACTGTTGTATCCTGACCACTGTTGTATCCTGACCACTATTACTTGTACCCTGGTCCCACTGTTGTATCCTGACCACTGTTGTATCCTGACCACTATTACTTGTACCCTGGTCCCACTGTTGTATTCTGACCACTGTTGTATCCTGACCACTATTACTTGTATCCTGACCACTATTACTTGTATCCTGACCACTATTACTTGTATCCTGACCACTATTACTTGTATCCTGACCACTATTACTTGTATCCTGACCACTATTACTTGTACCCTGGTCCCACTGTTGTATCCTGACCACTATTACTTGTATCCTGGTCCCACTGTTGTATCCTGACCACTGTTGTATCCTGACCACTATTACTTGTACCCTGGTCCCACTGTTGTATCCTGACCACTGTTGTATCCTGACCACTATTACTTGTACCCTGACCACTATTACTTGTATCCTGACCACTATTACTTGTACCCTGACCACTATTACTTGTACCCTGGTCCCACTGTTGTATCCTGACCACTATTACTTGTATCCTGGTCCCACTGTTGTATCCTGACCACTGTTGTATCCTGACCACTATTACTTGTATCCTGACCACTATTACTTGTACCTTGGTCCCACTGTTGTATCCTGACCACTATTACTTGTATCCTGACCACTATTACTTGTATCCTGACCACTATTACTTGTACCCTGGTCCCACTGTTGTATCCTGACCACTATTACTTGTATCCTGGTCCCACTGTTGTATCCTGACCACTGTTGTATCCTGACCACTATTACTTGTATCCTGGTCCCACTGTTGTATCCTGACCACTATTACTTGTATCCTGACCACTATTACTTGTATCCTGGTCCCACTGTTGTATCCTGACCACTGTTGTATCCTGACCACTATTACTTGTACCCTGGTCCCACTGTTGTATCCTGACCACTGTTGTATCCTGACCACTATTACTTGTACCCTGGTCCCACTGTTGTATCCTGACCACTGTTGTATCCTGACCACTATTACTTGTATCCTGACCACTATTACTTGTATCCTGACCACTATTACTTGTATCCTGACCACTATTACTTGTATCCTGACCACTATTACTTGTATCCTGACCACTATTACTTGTACCCTGGTCCCACTGTTGTATCCTGACCACTATTACTTGTATCCTGGTCCCACTGTTGTATCCTGACCACTGTTGTATCCTGACCACTATTACTTGTACCCTGGTCCCACTGTTGTATCCTGACCACTGTTGTATCCTGACCACTATTACTTGTACCCTGACCACTATTACTTGTATCCTGACCACTATTACTTGTACCCTGACCACTATTACTTGTACCCTGGTCCCACTGTTGTATCCTGACCACTATTACTTGTATCCTGGTCCCACTGTTGTATCCTGACCACTGTTGTATCCTGACCACTATTACTTGTATTCTGACCACTATTACTTGTACCCTGGTCCCACTGTTGTATCCTGACCACTATTACTTGTATCCTGACCACTATTACTTGTATCCTGACCACTATTACTTGTACCCTGGTCCCACTGTTGTATCCTGACCACTATTACTTGTATCCTGGTCCCACTGTTGTATCCTGACCACTGTTGTATCCTGACCACTATTACTTGTATCCTGGTCCCACTGTTGTATCCTGACCACTATTACTTGTATCCTGGTCCCACTGTTGTATCCTGACCACTGTTGTATCCTGACCACTATTACTTGTATCCTGACCACTATTACTTGTATCCTGACCACTATTACTTGTACCCTGGTCCCACTGTTGTATCCTGACCACTATTACTTGTACCCTGGTCCCACTGTTGTATCCTGACCACTATTACTTGTATCCTGACCACTATTACTTGTATCCTGACCACTATTACTTGTATCCTGGTCCCACTGTTGTATCCTGACCACTGTTGTATCCTGACCACTATTACTTGTACCCTGGTCCCACTGTTGTATCCTGACCACTGTTGTATCCTGACCACTATTACTTGTACCCTGGTCCCACTGTTGTATCCTGACCACTATTACTTGTATCCTGACCACTATTACTTGTACCCTGGTCCCACTGTTGTACCCTGACCACTATTACTTGTATCCTGACCACTATTACTTGTATCCTGACCACTGTTGTATCCTGACCACTATTACTTGTACCCTGGTCCCACTGTTGTATCCTGACCACTGTTGTATCCTGACCACTATTACTTGTACCCTGGTCCCACTGTTGTATCCTGACCACTATTACTTGTATCCTGACCACTATTACTTGTATCCTGACCACTATTACTTGTATCCTGGTCCCACTGTTGTATCCTGACCACTGTTGTATCCTGACCACTATTACTTGTACCCTGGTCCCACTGTTGTATCCTGACCACTGTTGTATCCTGACCACTATTACTTGTACCCTGGTCCCACTGTTGTATCCTGACCACTATTACTTGTATCCTGACCACTATTACTTGTACCCTGGTCCCACTGTTGTACCCTGACCACTATTACTTGTATCCTGACCACTATTACTTGTATCCTGACCACTGTTGTATCCTGACCACTATTACTTGTACCCTGGTCCCACTGTTGTATCCTGACCACTGTTGTATCCTGACCACTATTACTTGTACCCTGGTCCCACTGTTGTATCCTGACCACTGTTGTATCCTGGTCCCACTGTTGTATCCTGACCACTGTTGTACCCTGACCACTATTACTTGTATCCTGACCACTATTACTTGTACCCTGACCACTATTACTTGTATCCTGACCACTATTACTTGTACCCTGACCACTATTACTTGTACCCTGACCACTATTACTTGTACCCTGACCACTATTACTTGTACCCTGACCACTATTACTTGTACCCTGGTCCCACTGTTGTATCCCGACCACTGTTGTATCCTGACCACTATTACTTGTATCCTGACCACTATTACTTGTACCCTGGTCCCACTGTTGTATCCTGACCACTATTACTTGTATCCTGACCACTATTACTTGTACCCTGGTCCCACTGTTGTACCCTGACCACTATTACTTGTATCCTGACCACTATTACTTGTATCCTGACCACTATTACTTGTATCCTGACCACTATTACTTGTACCCTGGTCCCACTGTTGTATCCTGACCACTGTTGTATCCTGACCACTATTACTTGTACCCTGGTCCCACTGTTGTATCCTGACCACTGTTGTATCCTGACCACTATTACTTGTACCCTGGTCCCACTGTTGTATCCTGACCACTGTTGTATCCTGACCACTATTACTTGTACCCTGGTCTCACTGTTGTATCCTGACCACTGTTGTATCCTGGTCCCACTGTTTTATCCTGACCACTGTTGTACCCTGACCACTATTACTTGTATCCTGACCACTATTACTTGTATCCTGACCACTATTACTTGTACCCTGACCACTATTACTTGTACCCTGACCACTATTACTTGTACCCTGACCACTATTACTTGTACCCTGACCACTATTACTTGTACCCTGGCCACTATTACTTGTATCCTGACCACTATTAC